TTTTTTTTTTTTTTCTGCGCCGCGTGGGCTTTTCCAGCCCTACACGCCCATATTTGTTTTTTTTTTTTGTACCGAACTCGGCAGGTCGGCCTAGGCCGAACCGGGCCGATTCGGTCATCGGCCTAGGCCGCGGCCGATTCGGCCCCCCCGGCCGCGGCCGGGCGTGCAACATAGCTTGACGGAGCTAATCCAATACGCTGTCAAGTACGGAAAGGAGACCTATGATGTAGGCTTGGATACAGAATCAGATGAGGATGACTCATCTGGCGTCTGACGCAATAGCTATTCTGCTACGGCTCAGATGTTCAAAGATTGCTTCAGATTGGGACCGGCCAAGAGAAATCCAGACCGAAGAGCACCGTCGTTATGGTTGTGGCGCCCTTAACATAGTTCGTCCAAGGGTTGCAGAGGCAAAGGGCTGCCGCGGCTCAGAGGCAACAAGTGGCCGTGGCGGATGGGACAACAATTTCATGACCGGCCTTAGTCAAGGCTGCCCAACCCATGCGATGTTACAACTGCAATCAGCCAGACGACCTTGTAAAAGATTGTCTGAAACCCCAGACTCAGGTAGGGCCAGCCGGACCTTCCCAAATCCGTTGGTGGCACCCACCACTGTTGGAGAGGGAAGGGTGGCGGCTGTCATCGACACGAGGATGACTGAAATGGTGACCCCGACAGCCGCCGAAATCGGGCCCGAAGCATACATGGAGGCGACCATGCTCGAACCCGGGACCATTGCAGTGATACGTTATATCTAACAGATTACCGAGGAAAGCGATCTTGGACCTTGGAGACCCGGGTTCGAAGATTCCATGACGTCGGGTCCCGAGTACAAGGATGGTCAAATCGACGTCGTAGGCGCCATGAAAGTTTTGAACTTGCGGATCCCTATACCGATTCCATGACGTCGGATCCCTAGTACAAGGATGGTCAAACTGACTGTTCGAGGAAAGCCGAAAAGGCAAGAAGTTGGCTATGGACAACCGACCGGGTGCCACCGAGGCACAAGCCTCAATCTCGAAGTCCAACGAAGCAGTCCGTGTTGGAATGATCCAAGCCGCAGAACCACCACCGGAAACGCCCAAGGTGTTCCTTCGGGCCTATCCGATTGCCTGAAAAATGTTGAGTGTAACTGCGAGTTTTGGGGAAGTCCCTCGACCGCCGTCCTTGATTCTGGATCGTCGACAGTGGCCATCTTTTGGCGATTAACGAAACGCTTGGGAAGGAAGGGACATGTTCAACCCCTCCATATAGATGAATTGTATGTGTCTTTCATAGTGGATAACATTCATTCTAAAGAGTGAATTCTAAATGTACCTATACAAGTCGGACGGGTGCATTGCCTGTGAAATGCAATTTTATTGGATGTACAGGCGTATGATGTGCTACTAGGAATCCAGTGGCAGGCGGCGGTCAGATCGCGAATGCACTTTGACAGTTCTAAGGTGGTGCTGAAGTCGGCCCACCGGAAGCCCCAAATGATACCGATGAGAGTGGCAGTGCGTGTACGTGCGCAACCAGCCCCTCGCATTCCAGCCGAAGTCCACCGGATTAACATGATTCGGTGGCAAGCGATGAATGAAACAAAATCCATGACCGAAGCCGAGGACTCGAACGAATCCGACCGATATCTGATCCGGGAATGGGGTCCGATAAAATTACCACAGGCATTTTCAGTGGACCCCTCGGCCGAAGTCGAACCCGACAACGAAGATGAAACGGAAAAGGAACCACCCAGGAGGACGGTCAATTCATAGCGACAGTACTATTGGTAAAAACAAACAACCCCTTGTTCGATGCCTCTCCGTAGGAAACCGTCAGGGTTCTAACTGTTACATCAACGGTTTCCTTTCCTAGCGGGACCATTGACGTCTAGTTCCCTGCCCATGTACCCCCCAAGTACGGACGCCTCCTTGTGCTATTACAGGTCTACCCTGAAGCGGTTAGTATCCAAGACCACGACCTCAGATTAACCCACTTGATAAAGCACGCTATCGATACCGGAGGTCATGCCCCAATTCATTGTCGCCCATATTGTTATTCATTGAAGGAACGACGATCAGCCTTGGACAGAGTACGGGAGTTCGAGCGTCTTGGATGGGTGGAACCCTCCCTCGGTCCCTGGTCGTTCCCTATGGTCCTTGTGCCAAAACGAAACGGGGCAGTCCGCATATGCATAGAGAAAATTAAACGCCATTACTACCAAAGATGTTTATCCCCTGCCCCGTATCGATGACCTTTTGGAGGCAATCGGTTCCAACCGAGTAACCCGAGTTTTCTCGAAGTTCGATATCCGACACGGTTTTCACCACATCGCTCTCCGACCGGAAGACTGACCTTGAACTGCCTTTGTCCTATTCAAAGGTACGTGGCAATGAATCTGATGTCCCATGGGAATATACAACGCCCCCGCGACCTTCCAACAGGCCATGAATATAGCCTTCGCGGAGTTCGTTAACAAGACCCGCCTGACCCAGCCCCTGATTAATTTCTGCGTGACTGTGTATATGGATGATATTTTGGTCTTTTCCAAAACCCACGTGTATCACGTAGAACACGTTGAGTGGGTCTTGCATGGGTTGAAGGATGCGGTGTTCAAAGTGGCATTGGAGAAAAGCGAGTTCTTCCTATCCGAGTTTTCTTTCTTGGGGTATATTGTCACGGTGGATGGCTTGAAGCCGGATCCAAGGAAGGTGGCAGCAGTCCGAGGGGCCCCCACGCCGCCCAGTTGACTTAAGTTCGGGCTGTTTTTGGGCTGACGTCTTATTATCGGTGGTTCATTCATAACTTCGCACGTGTCGCCAAACCCCTAACGAACTTGTTTAAGAAGGATGAGTAGTTGGTTTGCACACCAGAATGTGAGGCGACTTTTCACGCGCAAAAAAAAGTCCTGACAACAACGCTGATCTTGGCACACCCGGACCTGAGAAAGTTGTTCGTCCTGCACACTGGCTGGCAGCCGCAGGCAATATCGACGGTGCTGACTCAACAAGGAGGGAATGGGAAGGAACACGTCATTGAGTACGCCTCGAAAACACTGAGTTGGGCGCAATTAAATTATGAGGAGTGCAAGGGCGGGTGCTTGGCAGTGGTATGGGGAATTCAACATTTTCGACCGTATCTTCACGACCATACATTTGTGCTTGTGATGGATCATTAGTCGTTGTTGTCGCTATGAAATAACACTGATTACACGGGAACCTTGGGAAGGTGGTCTGTGAGATTGTAGGGCTACGATTTCGATATTCGCCATCGTGTCACCAAGCAACACGGAAATGCTGATGGTCTGACAGGTTTGCAGCCGCCATGAAAGTGCCTTGCGAGCAAGTAGCCTATTTCGTGAAAGCGTGCTTTGTCATCCACAGAGCCTCACTACAGAAAAGTACACGTCCTCCAAAAGGACATTGCCGAGCTCCGAGATGGCGATCTCCCCTGAAAAGGCAACCACTCTCTCATCTTCCCCCTGTTCTTCGGCCCATTCGTCTACACCCGGCTCTCCCTCTTTCGCGTTTGTGAACACCTGCTTCTTCTGCACCTTGCCTATGATACCCGATAACGGTGACTCGCACCCAATAAGGCATTATAGTTTCGTCTCATGGATACAGTGTAGTCGGTGTTGGG